CTGGCCCTTAATTCCCAGGTCTCTAAGCAGTCTGGTTGTAGATGTTGCCACAAAACCTCTGCAGCCCACCTCCACTGGTCGGACTTCTGTGTTCCGGCATAGCGCAGACATTTTCGCTCATAAGCCTCATCTACTGAGTCCTCCCAGGGTACTGTGAGCTCAATGATGAAGACCTTCTTGAGCGAACGGGACCAGAGCACCATTTCAGGTCTTAGGGTGGTGGTTGCGATCTCCGGAGGAAACACAAGTTGCGGGCCAATGTCAGCTAGCATTTTCCAGTCGCGGGCCAAGCGCAGCTGGTCTCGCTCTATTGGTGTAGAGCCGCTCTTCGGTGGTTTAGCTCCTTCGCGGACAAAGGTCGTCCGTGAGGGGTGTGATGCTGCTGGGGGTGGTAGGGAGTTGGTGGCAGCTCGCTTGTCCTCCAGGACGGACGCAAGGTTTTTAAGGACTTGGTTGTGACGCCAAGTGTAGCGTCCTTGGGTGAGGCTTGTTTTACACCCTGTGAGAATGTGCCTGAGGTTGGCTGGCATGGAACAGAGGGCACAGTCCGGATCTTCACCATACCATTGGTGAAGATTAACTGGTGTTGGAAGGACGTCATATGTTGCTCTGATGGAAAAGCTCAACCGCCTCGCTTCCATGGCCCACAGATCCTTCCAGCTGATCTTCCTCTTCTCCACACTGTCCCATCGAGTCCACTGTCCCTGTTTGGCAAGAGAGACTGCCTTGGCCCACCTTGCAGCCTCCTCATGATGGCGTACTTCCTGCACTACCATCTTCCGCCGCTCTGGTGTAGTGGCCTTACTCCAAGCAGCACGGCTAGTTAGCCCAAGGCCTCCTCTCCCTTGCTGAACATGACCCACAATGTCAGCATGTCTGAGGGCTGCTGTTGCCTCCTGGACTGCTTTTCCTGGCCTCCATTTGCGCCCAGTTGCCAAGGTCGGCGCGTTGTTGCTCACCACTGGGTCTCGAGATTCATTCAGTGTCATCTGGAGCCTGGTTTTTGCACACTTGAATTCCTCGGTTAGACTGGTGAGGGGCAGCTTGAGGACACCATCTCCATAGAGGCCTATGGTGGTAAGGCATCGTGGAACTCCGAGCCACTTCTTTAAGTAGCTCGTGACTCCTCTTTCCATCTTCTCCACTGTTGAGATTGGAAGCTCATACACTGCTAGGGGCCACAACACCCGGGGTAGGAGACCAAACTGCAGACACCAGGCCTTTAACTTTCCAGGTAGCTGGGTGTTGTCGATGGACTGTAGGCTACTACTGATGTCTTTGCGCAGCTGTTGCACCTGGTCTTTGTCCTTCAGGCTTGCATCATACCACCTTCCAAGGCTTTTTACCGGCTGCTCAGACACTGTTGGGATTTGGTCATCTCCGATGAAGAATTTCAGGTCACAGAGTACTCCCTTCACAATCGAGATGCTGCATGACTTGGATGGTTTAATCTTCATACGGGCCCAGCTGATGTTCTCCTCGAGTTTTTTGAGCAGTCTCCTCATGCATGGGACAGTGGTGGTCAATGTTGTAATGTCGTCCATGTAGGCTCTGAGTGGAGGGAGGCGAAAACCAGAGTCGACTCGCTGTCCACCAGCAACCCATTTTGAGGATCTGATGATAACCTCCATTGCCATTATGAATGCCAATGGAGAAATGGTACATCCCGCCATTATACCTACATTCAGGCATTGCCATGAGGTGGTGAACTCTGAGTTGGTGAAGCAGAACTGCAGATCCTGAAAGTACGACTTCACCAGGGTTGTGATGGTGTCCGGTATGTGGAAAAATCTGAAGGCAGACCACAGGAGTTCATGGGGCACAGAGCCAAATGCATTGGCGAGGTCAAGGAAGACTACATGGAGGTCCCTTTTCTCCACCTTGGCCATTTGGATCTGGTGCCAGATCATGCTGGAATGTTCCAAGCAGCCAGAGAACCCTGATATTCCTGCCTTCTGTACAGATGTATCGACGTACGCATTCCTTTGCAGGTACTCGGCCATCCTCTGGGCAATGACCCTAAAGAAGATTTTACCCTCGACATTCAGTAAGGAGATTGGGCAGAATTGGCTGATGTTCACTGCATCCTTCTCCTTAGGGATCAGGACCCCGCCTGCCCTACGCCACACTTTGGGTATTATCTTCTTTTGCCAAGCTGTTCTCATAAGCCTCCAGAGGAACCTCAGGACGTCTGGTGCGTTCTTATACACTTTGTACGGGACTCCATTTGGCCCCAGGGCTGATGCTGTTCTTGCCCTTCGAACTGTGTTTTCCACCTCTTTCCATGTCGGAGGGCTGGTCTCAATATGATGTTCCGGGGGTTCAATGGGTGGGATATCTGATGGGATGGCCAGATGTTCATGTCGCTTTGAGTCAAAGTTTGTTGTTCTCAGGTGCTCTTCTAGGTTTTTCTTTGTTGTTTTTAGAACTCCACTCTTTTCCTTCGTGAAGAGACTTTTAAGGAACTTGAAGGGATCTTTATAGAATCGAGTTCTAGTTTGTTCTTTCTTCCTTCTGCGCTTCCGTAGGTTCTCTGCTCTACGGAGGGATGCCAACCGGGTTTTGATGTCAGCCTCAAGTGCCTCTATGCCCTCCTTTTCCACTTCCGAGGCTTTCTTCCACTGTTTCTTAAGTTGTCTCCTTTCTTGAACGAGGCGCTTGATTTCTTGTTGCCTCCTGGAAACTGGTGGGGTTGGAACCTTTCTCCCGCCTTTTGCCTCTTGCACTCCAAAGCTTTCTGCCCCGTACTCATAGATGATGTCCCCCATCCTCTCCAACTTCTTCTCCACTGTGCCTCGATGTTTCTCGAGGGTCAAGGTAAGGTCAGTATTCACTGTTTCCCACAACTTCTTGTCACTGGCGCCAGGCCACTTCACATACGGTCTGTGCCCTGGTAGTCTCCTCTCGACTGCAGGTCTGGGAGGCTGGGTGAGTTCCACTCCTGTTGTTGGTTCCACCTCAGTTGTTACTTCGGTGCTTGAGTTTACGTCCTCCATGACAGTGGTACTGATGCACTGCAAACTATGGTTTGCGTCCAGTTGCTGTGCTTCATTCGACTGATTTGATCGCTTTCGCAGAAAGTAATCAATGCGAGGCCTCTGTCTCTCTTTACCCAAACACCCCTTCTTCCCCTGGTGGATCCTCAACCCATGGTGTGATGTAACTTTCCTCCAACCACAGACACATACCTGCATCTGTTTGTGGCCTGCTGTTGCAGCGGAACTTGTGACAGTTGCTGTGGTGTTCTCTTGTGCTGTGCTCTCATTACTCGTAGTCGTTTCCGGTCCAGTCGTTACCATTTTGTCAGTCGATGAGTCATCTTCCGCCCCCGCTCTCGCAGACTCTAGGGGTATTCTCGTATGTTGACTTTCTGTAGCTAAATCGGGTGTTTCCAACATACTGCGAAGCATGGGAAACTACAGAAATGGGAAGCTAACCCATGACTGACCCAGTGGGGTCTATTCCCTCCTGTCAGCCGTCTCTCCGTGCCGCCACAAGGACTTTCCCCTGTTGTCAGCTGATCTTTCTCAGCAGTCACGGAACAAGTCCAGATATTCAGATTCCAAAGAACACAGGATGAGATGTTACTATCCTTTGTGCAAGCACTTCCAAGAGTTCATGAACAGTGAGCCTGGTGAAATTTGGGGAGCGCATCGTCAGTAGTGAACCTTTGGTTCCTAGGGTGTTTCGGCCTTTCATACTATACACCCTCTCCAAAGGCGGCCAGCGACAGGGTGATCAATCCTACGCTTGTGTCCCATTCCCAATTAGTCATAGGAGTTGCCTTGTTGTTGATAGCCAACATCCCATGGGACTATGCATGGCAGGGGTGTCCTCCTCCCTGAGTCAAGCATTGTTGACTGCATACCTCCTGGCCCTCTCACTTTGGGGCCCAGCTGGGGTCTTTCCTCTTCATCCAGAGCCACTGACTGCTGCCTTCTGCCGCCTCCGATACAGCTCTGATTGCTGAACGCTGGCTCTGGGCCTTAATTCCCAGGTCTCTAAGCAGTCTGGTTGTAGATGTTGCCACAAAACCTCTGCAGCCCACCTCCACTGGTCGGACTTCTGTGTTCCAGCCATGATGCCGTGAAGTATGTATTGGTTAAGCAGTGTCTCACCAAGATGGGTACCTCTGTGTTCAGTCATTGATGAACCAAGTCTTCAATGATTGCGATGGTGTCAGGTACAGGAACTTTGGTGAATAAGGAAACTACATCAAAACTGACAAGCAGGTCGTCTGGGGACAGGGAAATACCCTTGATTGTCGATACCAGGTGAGTAGAGTTTAGTACCGCAGAGGTGGTTTTTCCAGTAAAAGGACGCAGGATTTCTGACAAAAAACGAGCAAGTTTGTAGGTGGGGGAGTTGATAGTGGAGACGATGGGACGAAGGGGTGTATCTTCTTTAAGTATCTTTGGTAAGCCATATAACCTTGGTGACCTGGCAGCAGAAGGTTTCAACGAGAACTGTTTGGTTTGATCAATTAATGCGGTTGAATCTGAAATGATTTTGTTGGTTTTAATGACGAGGCTGTTGGTGGGATCTCTTTTTATTTTTGTATAGCTGCCATCATCGTTAAGTAATTCTTGAGTTTTGATGTTATATTCTATTTTATCCACGATGACAGTGGCATTGCCTTTGTTGGCTGAGAGGATGTCAATGTCATCCCTCCTTTTTAATTTATATAATTCAAAACGCTCATCTTTGCTGAGGTTGCTAGCTGGCATCTTAGCGTTTTTGCTGGTTGCAGCGATTTCAGATCTTACCACGTCTGCAGCTATGTGACCCAGGCCCTTGAGAGCCACGTCTACTTGGGCAATTATATCATTAACTGGTATGTGTTGAGTCTTGTCAGTTTATTGACAAAACCCATATCAACTATAATATTTAGCGTTAAATTAGAATTTGTCTGAATAGGACACATAATATGAAAGAGGTTGCTGACAAGGATATATATCGCTGAGTTTGAATGCTGTCCCCTCGAATGGTTGCAGGATTTTCTCCAGTCCCTCCGATTTCCTCCTACACGTGGACACACCAACTGCTCAAGGACAGGAAGTGGCCAAACATCTTAAAGGACGCTTTTCATTTTCCCAAAATTGTAAGAAACAGAGATGGTCGGGAGATATAGGATTTATGTGCCCCAGACACTGATGCTGGGTGAATGACTGTGCTAGAGAGAGGCAAGACAAATGCATGCAAGGAACAGTGGACAAGTTGGCAAACGAGTGACTGTGAAGCAAGAAGAAGTCCCTTAACTGATTGAGACGCTGGGCACTGAATAGTTCGAAGGGGGCACCATGAACTCCAGCCTGGCTCTAGGACTCATGGGTGGGGATCCTGACCACAATGCCTCCAACGTGGAGCCACTGATCTGTCTGATCCGGGAGTCCGGCCTCCGCTGCCGCCCAGCTCGAATGTCTGCACGCATCGCCAACATCGTCTTAATCATCATGATTGTTACCACGGTGTTGAACGTCCTGGGAAACATGACCATCATCATGGCTATCTCCTACTTTAAGCAGCTGCAGGTGCTGCCCAACACCTTCACCTTTTCCCTGGCGGTGGCCGACATCATGGTGGGCGTAGTGGTGATGCCCTTCTACACGACACAGTGCGTCTACGACTGCTGGTTCTTCGGCCAAAAATTCTGCAAGGTCCACCACTTCCTTGATGCCTTTATGTGCACCGCCTCCACCTGGCACCTCTGCTGCATCGCCTACGAGCGATACCTGGCCATTTGCGACCCGATGCACTATAGGCAGCGCTTTACCTGGAAGACAGCAGCCTTGCTTCTTGCCACCGCATGGCTCGGGACAGTGTTATACGTGGTGCCCGTGATGCTGGGATGGATTGTCATTGGCATCGAGGACATGATGGCAAGCCGCACCTGTACGGACAACTGCATCTTCTACATGAACAAGCCATTCTCGAGCTGTGGTGCCGTCATCACCTTCATGGTGCCGACAACGGTAATGACCCTTGCCTACGCGAAGATTTACCGTGTGGCACGCAAGCAGGCCCGCTCCATCAGCATCCAGCAGCAAGGGAGTCAGGGCAAGTCGGGCTTCAACAAGCAGCAGTGGGCGGCCATGAAACGAGAGCACAACGCCACCAAGACTGTGTCCATCATTCTGGGCGTCTTCATTTTCTGCTATGCGCCATTTTTTTACACCATCGTCAAAGATGCCTGGATCGATTTTAGAACAAATTCCTTCACCTGGGACATGGTAAACTTTTTCGGGCATGTTAACTCAGCCATCAACCCTTACCTATACGGGGGCTTCAACCGCGCGTTTCGTAACGCCATCCGCATCATGTTTAGCCGCAAGTTTTGGCAGCCTGGGAGCCGCTCAGCCGAGCTGTGAGTGTCCAATGAGGTCCTAAATTTGATTTCTAGGATTTAATTTAACATTAAATCGAGTTTATGTGTGTAATGTGTTTGATGGTTTCTCAGTCCCATCACTAGTTATTGAACAGGTTTGCGGGGTGGGGGGGAGAACACGTGTGTGTCTTGGAAAACTTGATGCAGACATCCTCACGCCTACTACGGTTATTTGGGCATGTGCTCCCTAAACCTTGGTTCACACTACCTGCCAGATTTGTTGCGCGTGGATATATTATGGATGGACGAGGCCAAAGGGGTCTCTCGTGATTTTGGTTGCTTTACTGCCATACTACTGTAGCGGACACTCTCCTCACAAACCCGCCGAGACAGGTCAGAGTTCCAGTCCGTTTATTCCACCTCTGAAACACACAGCTCCCTCCTTCATCCAGTTTTCTCCTTACGTCCCTCCTCCGACGTGCTTTCTTATCCTCCCAGGTCCCTCTCCCCCCACCCTCATCCCTGTCACCTCATTTCCAGCTGCCAATCACATATCGTCACATATTGGACCATGTCTCCTCATCTCCTGCCACCAATCACAGATCGTCATACTGCGGGGTTACTCCTGGTCAGGCAAGTGCAGGGATTGATGTCAGCGTGTAGGGCATAGGGAATGATGATGTTGTGGGGACAGTTATGGAGGACTGTTGCAAAACGTAAACCATTCCTTTTAAGGGAATTTGCCAAACTTTTCAAAGCAAGATATGCTGGAAGTCTTGACACAGTGAGTCTTTCATGGATGATTGATGACCTAATGGTTAAAATGTGTGAGTGGTCTATGTTGTTGCAGTTGGATTACTATCAAAGTAAAATGGACTGAGGAAAGTATTTTAATTTCATGTGGTCAAGGGTTGTCGGCCATTTAAAGTTTTAAAGTCAAACATTTAACATGGAGACAATAATTAGCACACACTATAGTGAATAGGCCTCATTCTGGCTTTAAATTTTAACAAACACAATTGAAGACATCATCACGTCAAAGCGTGTGATAATACAGCTGATACCAAAGAATTGAGTGCTCGCTATAATTATTGTGATCTGTGCTTTTCGGCTGTCGTGTAAAATAAGGAATAGTACGTGTTCAGTTTTCCAACTCCTGGACAAAAAGTCTGCCCACACTGTGCAGGTCGAAACGGTTATTTTGCCAGACTTTATGTTGGTCAGCCTGGTGAGTGAAGCAGGGAGCATAGATGTAGAAGCATAGTAGTACAATACAAATAAAAGATTGGACTTTTCTGCACTGCCCTCTACCGACCACAGCATAGTCTGCTGTAGCAGCCTTTGACCACCGGCATGCACAGTGATCGCCCTTTCAGGTGAAATTCAGTCTTAAAATCTGCTTAGCTTCTGCGATCATCTGACGAGATCGGGTGCATATCGGGTAATTTTATGTCAATTAGTCGCAAGCCCCGAGAGGAGGCGTAGCAGTTCTCAATACTAGACATCGCCTGTTGATGCCATTCTCATGCGCCCGATACGCCAAGTGTAGGCTGAGATTACGATGTCTGAAATCGGCCCCAACCGTGTGCATCCAGGTCTACCTCGGCCTGCCCCTGTGTAGAGTCCAATCTTGAGCAAGGCCATCGATAATTGCACAGTTCTCCCAACGTGTCAGCAGGGGCAATGTGTCTGCAAGAGTTGCCGCCTCCTCGTTCGAAGTCAGACACCGGCTGACATTCTGCTCGATGAAGGACTTCAGCATTTGTGATATGCTCACTGAAGTGAAATTCAAGTATCCATTGCAAGGACCATTGGCGAAAGGCGTCCAGTTCAAGGATGCACAGTCATCGACCATGTCTCTCTGCCATACATAACCCATATAGACATGTTTAAATGGCAAGGAAGCTTGTAGTCGGCCAATATAGGCCTACAAAAAGTGGTACACAATTATCTTTCATAAATAGTTATTTTGCAACTGTCTATAATTATTTTAGTTTTCAATGTTTAATGGAAATTTAATATTTCTTAAAATTAAAACGTCATTACACGTAATGACGTTTAATGGAAATTGAATATTTCTTAAAATTACACGTAATGACGTCAAACAGACCAATGATGACAATGCATTAATTTGCTCAAAACAGCTTTATATATAGAGAGAACTGCAGAGTAGCAGCAATAGCTACGACACCATCAGGAAACAAAGTAGCCAAATTCCGAAACAACGAAGAGGCTGAGAATATTGCATAAAGAATACAGTAGAGACATACAGTGAGGGAAAAAAGTATTTGATCCCCTGCTGATTTTGTACGTTTGCCCACTGACAAAGAAATGATCAGTCTATAATTTTAATGGTAGGTTTATTTGAACAGTGAGAGACAGAATAACAACAAAAAAATTTCTGAAAAACGCATGTCAAAAATTATATGAACTGATTTGCATTTTAATGAGGGAAAAGTATTTGACCCCTCTGTAAAACATGACTTAGTACTTGGTGGCAAAACCCTTGTTGGCAATCACAGAGGTCAGAAGTTTCTTGTAGTTGGCCACCAGGTTTGCACACATCTCAGGAGGGACTTTGTCCCACTCCTCTTTGCAGATCTTCTCCAAGTCATTAAGGTTTCGAGGCTGACGTTTGGCAAGCCGAACCTTCAACTCCCTCCACAGATTTTCTATGGGATTAAGGTCTGGAGACTGGCGAGGTCACTCCAGGACCTTAATGTGCTTCTTCTTGAGCCACTCCTTTTTTGCCTTGGTCCGTGTGTTTTGGGCCATTGTCATGCTGGAATACCCATCCACGACCCATTTTCAATGCCCTGGCTGAGGGAAGGAGGTTCTCACCCAAGATTTGACGGTACATGGCCCCGTCCATCGTCCCTTTGATGCGGTGAAGTTGTCCTGTCCCCTTAGTAGAAAAACACCCCCAAAGCATAATGTTTCCACCTTGATGTTTGACGGTGGGGATGGTGTTCTTGGGGTCATAGGCAGCATTCCTCCTCCTCCAAACACGGCGAGTTGAGTTGATGCCAAAGAGCTCCATTTTGGTCTCATCTGACCACAACACTTTCACCCAATTGTCCTCTGAATCATTCGGATGTTCATTGGCAAACTTCATGTATATGTGCTTTCTTGAGCAGGGGGACCTTCCGGGCGCTGCAGGATTTCAGTCCTTCACGGCGTAGTGTGTTACCAACTGTTTTCTTGGTGACTATGGTCCCGGCTGCCTTGAGATCATTGACATGATCCTCCCGTGTAGTTCTGGGCTGATTCCTCACCGTTCTCATGATCATTGCAACTCCACGAGGTGAGATCTTGTATGGAGCCCCAGGCCGAGGGAGATTAACAGTTCTTTTGTGTTTCTTCCATTTGCGAATAATCGTACCAACTGTTGTCACCTTCTCACCAAGCTGCTTGGCGATGGTCTTGTAGACTATTCCAGCCTTGTGTAGGTCTACAATCTTGTCCCTGACATCCTTGGAGAGCTCTTTGGTATTGGCCATGGTGGAGAGTTTAGAAACTGATTGATTGATTGCTTCTGTGAACAGGTGTCTTTTATACAGGTAACAAGCTGAGATTAGAAGCACTCCCTTTAAGAGTGTGCTCCTAATCTCAGCTTGTTACCTGTATAAAAGACACCTGGGAGCCAGAAATCTTTCTGATTGAGAGGGGGCCAAATACTTATTTCCCTCATTAAAATTCAAATCAATTTATAACATTTTTGACATGCGTTTTATTCTGTCTCTCACTGTTCAAATAAACCTACCATTAAATTATTGACTGATCATTTCTTTGTCAGTGAGCAAACGTACAAAATCAGCAGGGGATCAAAAACTTTTTTTCTCACTGTAGCATGTGAAAACTTCTTTCACACCGTACGTAGCCAACCCTGCTAATCAGAGGAAATGGAAAGATACAAGTACAACATGATTGGACTGGCAGAAATGATATCGACGGGAACGGGGGAGATAAATGGAGGTGAAGTGATCTGGTAAGGGGAAGATACAATGCACACCAGAGGAGCAAGGTTCTTGTTGAGCGCAAAAGCCACAGCATTATTGGGATATAGACTGGTTAGTCCAAAAGTAATTGGAGCGAGATTTAATTGGCATCCCCTAAATATTTCTGTCATCCAAATATATGAGCCAACTTCAGATAGCGCAGAAGAGGATAATGAAGAATTATATGGAATGCTAGAAAGCAAGTCACAGGAACTGCCTAGGAAAGATATTAAGATAATTGTGGGAGACTGGAATGGAAAAATTAGGAAGGATAACACTGGATAGTAATGCATCATGCAAATGTATGGATATGGGGAAAGAAATGACAGAGGCGAGAAACTGCTCGAATTTTCTTTAAAACATGACATGCTCATATATAATACTAAGGTTCAAACAAAAAACTGCAGAAAATGGACATGGAGGGCACCAGATGGAAAACGTACGAATATTGTAGATCTGGTAATGATCAACAGATGCTGTAAACATCAGTTCGACTATGCAGACCATTCCGAGCAGCTGATGTGTCATCGGACCACAGCTTGATACTATGTAACCTGCGACTAAAACGTATATCGAGAACGCAAATAGAGGCACTCGAGAACAAGGAGACAAGGAGAAATATGAAGAAATATCGAGTAGAATCAGGGGGAGAAATATAAACTATCTCAGCATAGACAGCAAGGCATTATCATTAAAGAAAGTAGTGGAGCAAGCAGTATAATCAGCGATAGCCTGAGTAGTAAACCCCAAAAGTACATGGATAACTAAAATAACCTAGATAACTAGCATAGGAAAATATAAAAAGAAGGCTCAAGATAAAGGAAGCGGATGAGATGGCGACTAAGTATTAGCAGGAATGGCTGGAAAAGCAATGTAGTGACATTGAATACGATGCTGGAAAACACAACCAGGGAGGTGTACAGACTAGTGACGAGCACAAATAGGAAGTGGCAACCAAGGCAAACAGCGATAAAAAGCAAAGACGGTAAAATCTTGATGGACAAAGAAGAAGCAAAAAACACATGGACGACGTATTGCAGCAATTTGTATTGGGATATTGACCAAAAGAAGACAGAGCTGCCAGTGACGTGCGGTGAGGTCAATGGCTGGGGAGGTACTGGCTAAGACGCGTCCAGCTCAGTGAGGCAGATGTGATAGCTGCCTCCCCTGGTGCTTTTTCATTGCAGTTTCATGACGAGACTAGCGAGCCGAAATATATTTATACACATATGTGAAATAATTACCTGGACTATGGAAGGCGAGGACATATAATGAAGAGGTCTACAAACATTACATACAGAGAGATAGTAACAGGCAAGCACTTATTGCCCTCCATGAGCTATGTAAGCAAATTTGGAGAGAAGAGAAAATACAGGAAGAGTGGATAAAATCCATACTTGTGAAGATACTCAAGAAAGGAGATCTCTCCAATTTTATAAAAAATTTTTATAAAACTATCGCACGTATGGTCTACATGGGGAAGGTACTAATGATAGTACTATTATTCGATTAAAAGCACAGGTGGAAGATTTTTGGTGGATGAACATGCAGGGTTTAGGAAAGTTAGGAACACAGTACAGCAAATCTTGATGTCAAGGCTTATATCAGAGAAAAAATAGGCTGGTTTACAACCGTTTCATAAATTTCCAGAAAAAAGATTCAACGACGCAATATATAACATTATACGGAGTAGGGAAAAGACTGGCAGATTTTGCAGGATGTAGGTGAAAGGTCAAATTCAGCAGTAAAAGTTAGCCAGGAAATAGGGGACGGGTTCCCAACAACAATAGGTATGAGACAGGGAGATTCACTTTCACCGAACAACGTCGTCACATACTTGGAAAGAGAGATGGATGCCATTCAGGAATATCTGTGCAAAGTGAAATAAATAACCTGAGATTCACAAACAACATAGATCTCATGGACGAAAGTTGCGTAATACTGCAGGAAAGTGTTCATATGCTGAATAATGGAAAAGACAAAGACGATGGTGTTCCGAATGGAGAACATTGAGAAATAAGTAATACTAGAAAGCAGCAATATTGTGAATGTAAATGAATTGTTAGACTTGGGAAGTCTACTGACATGGGACAACAACTGTACGAAAGACACAAGGATGAGGATCGCAAAGGCCAAAGGAGTAATGGCAGAATTTAATAACTGGAGAAGCAAGCAAATCAGCCACAAGACCAAACTGAACATCTTAAGAACATGCGTGTCCAGTACAACGTTGTATGCCTGCGAGACTTCGACATTGAAAAAAAGACTGACAGTGATAAGATCTTGGTATTCTAAATGCATTCCAATAGGATACCGCATCTTATCTGAACCAAAATAGTAATTAAAATAGAAGAGGTTGCACATAGAAGAAGACCTGATGCAGGCAGTGATGAGAAAGAACCTGGCACGATTTGGACACATAAGTAGAGTGGACAACAACAGGAAAATGTAAAGTGTTGTTTGGGAAAATGGAAGGAACTGGAAAGAGAGGAAGACCTAATAGAGAATCGCTTGACGACATAATACATTGGTGCCAGCAAGATGTGAACAGAGGAAAGTGGAAACAAATGACGAAATGTGCAGTGGACACCTACGGGCTATCTGCCCATGGATCGTGATGATGAGAGCTTTGGCAGATATTGACTACAGCTCCCCGCCTAGTTGCCTTCCAGATGTTGTTGCTCCTTAACGAGTGTGAGATTTTAATTACATGCACAACGCTATATCCAACTACACATTATTATGCATGCCGTTCTCCAATAACTGGAGGTTTTGCATAATGCTTGAGGCTGAGGGTTGTTT